AATAATTAAATTGATAAACACTAAACAAAACAACAATCTTAACAAGCCTACGACGCTCGTCAACGACGGAATAATCAACAAGTTCTCTGATCTTGCGTCATTAGTAAAAATTATTCAAATCGCTTGCCCAATCATCCTCGAATTAATATGAATAATAATAATAATGACAATAATAATCATAACAATGGTAATGATAATAATATCAATCGACAACAAAAGCGTTCCAATCAATCGTCTAACAATAATATTGATGTGATGCGACTTTAGCCAAACAAAGTGATTTTACATTTTCTCATAAACTTTTTTTTCACACAATATCCAAAGCCTTGTTAGGAACTTGGCTTCATTTCAAACAAAACTTCTTTTTCTTCCAGTTACTTTGACATCTTGTCAGTTCAAGAAAGAAACAAATCGCAACGCAACAATCAGTATGAAGAGATGATTCTTCCAGGTTACTCTCTTGTTCGTCATGCTCGGTATCGGTGAGGAGGAGGTATTGCGACATACATCTCTCTCCAGTTTTCTGTAACCGCTATTTCTGACTCTAATGAAGCTTTTCTAATTCTTGTGCATTCTCCTTCGGTTAATTTTCTCCTCTGTAATTGTTATCGTTCACAATCTGTTTCTGTTGCATTTTTTCTGGATAATTTTATTTGTAAATATCCTTCTCTTTCTCCTCATTTGGTGTTGTGTGGTGATTTAAACTTGAATTTTCTTGTTCCTTATGAAATGTACAAAGTCCTTAATCTTTCTAACTCTCTTTTGTGTTCTTTTCTTAATTTTTCTGTAACTACTACTTTTTTTACGTGTTTTTACTATATCTTTTATCCCTCTTTGTGGAACCCTCGTTTTCTTCTATTCTCTTCCTTCAATTGACTGTTCTCCTCATTTTTGTTTATCTGCTACTTTGGATGTCCTGTTCAAGCTCTTTTCTCGTCTACTTCTTATCGTATGACCACTAAGAAAGCCCAGCCAACTACGGTCGCGGAAGCTGTCACTCAGTCCAGCCAACTACGGTCGCGGAAGCTGTCACTTAGCCCAGCCAACTACGGTCGCGGAAGCTGTCACTCAGTCCAGCCAACTACGGTCGCGGAAGCTGTCACTTAGCCCAGCCAACTACGGTCGCGGAAGCTGTCACTCAGCTCGGCCAAATTATGGAGTAAAGTGCGTGAAATGTCACCAAGCGGACCTTAATGATGGAACAAACTTTTGCATGTGATTCAGAGAAAAGTAGGCGAAAAAACCACTGATTTTTCTTTTTTCAAATTTACAGTGTACACGTGCCAGATAGAAACCAGAATGCATATAATTAATCTACTGTATAGATATTGGCTGGATTTTTATTCAACGAAAAGAGAGAAAGGAAAGAAAACGTATTATCGTCGACCGTCATTTTTGGCAGCTATTACTGTAAGGTAACTTCTAACTTGACTACGCGTTTTATCGACATCAGTTTATGGTAAAAGAACTTTTGCTTTTGATTTGTTAATTTCTCATTTTTCTGTCCACATAATAAATTTCATTGATTAAAGTGGCTGACGTTCGGTTAGGATAAGATACGTGCAAAAGTTGAGTGCACGCTTCCTTGCGCGTAGCTTATCTTGCTCGTCATTGGTGAACTTGGAATTAGTCTACACTTGACGGTCAGAACTAGGCATCCATAAATCTCTACTATCACCGCAAAATTTCCAAATTTCACGTTGATAGTGGAGACTTATGAATAAAATTTATGGATGCCTAGTTCTGACCATGTGCTCGACATGACTTAAGTTAATACTGAAGTGAGCAACGAGTGTAGTCTGAACAAGGCCTTGGCTTTTCCGTTACGTGACATTACAATCCAGTTTTAACCTCCAACGAATATAATTGAATTTCCTTCGTGTATAACTAAATATTACTTGATTAAATTAATATTTTGGATGGACTTTCGTCTCAGAACATAATCAGTTCGATTTAAGACAACAGAATAGAGGTACAATGACAGAATTTAATTGGTAAATAAAGCCACTGAGTTTTTTTTCTTGAAGTGTAAAAACACACACAATAGAAAGTTTTTCTTTTCTAACATTAGAATTAAATTTTGTATATAATATACATTGTATACTGAAATATAGTTTGTTTATATTCTTTGTATAAGTTATGTGACAAACGCGTGTGTGATTGAAATTGTGTGATTTTGTTATTCTCATCTTAAACGAGAGACGCAAAGGACAGATGTCCATTTACATAGTATCTAACAGGCACTCACTACAAGAAGTGTCTTAATCACATTTATTCGCTACACTAGTCTATAGTGGACAACAGGAATTTCCACTCTCAGTTCTAGCCGTGTTCTAGATCCATTAGTAACGTTAAAAAAGAAGTTACTTGCCAATAACTCCTACCATTAGCAGGTAACTTCAGTATTGGTTAAAAGTAGCCAAGAGAAAAAACCTCGAGAATTTAGAAAGGCTATCAGCTACTTCCGAAGACGTTTTAAAAGTTGCTTGCATTTTTTGAGAAAGTCAGTCCCTAAATATATCATGAAAATCACCTCAAATATGTAGTATTACGTTCTATCTAAGTCCGAAGTTTTGTGCGACTAAAACTAAAAATGTTTTAGATATCCTCATTGCAAGCAAAACTCAAAAAGGGTGTGGTCGCAGATGGAATAAATCTGCTTATTTGATGCACGTTTGCAGTTTTATGATACAGCTTCATTGAATGGAAGAACAGAATTTACGAAGGATTAAATCAGATTTCACTTTGTGTTTTCATTTTTCTCGGCCTCCATACAAGTACCGAGAGATTCATAATAACAACACTCTATAGCGTAGAATAGTGAATACCTTGGTACTTGTGGAATAGAAGCACGAAGTGAAATCTTGTTTAATCCAGGACTGGGCAACTCCAACTCCGGAATTCAGGATTTTTTTAGTGGAGTTAGAGTTAGAGTTGACCTTGGCGGAGTTGGAGTTGAAGTTGAGGTTTTAGGAGGTTGGAGTTTGGTTTTTGAATTTTTATTCTCAACTCCGTTTTGTATTTTTGGAAATATTCAATAGTTGTAAAACTGATCTTCTAAACGATTGAGTGACTGTATTCACGAGTGCATTCGGAAGTTCTTTGTGCTTTCCGGCCGAAAAAAGCTCAAAAACGCCCAAAACGCTCTGCTATCTTCCTTGCAAAAGTGAAGCAATCGGAGTTGAACGGGAGTTGAGATTTTTATTGAAGGAGTTGGAGTTGAAAAATTTTGAGCGGAGTTAGAGTTGGATTGCAAATTTGAAAACGGAGTTGGAGTTGAAAGTCAGCGAAGTTGTCCAGCCCTGGTTTAATGCTTCTTTAATTCTCCATCTAATGAAGTTGTGTCATAAAAAACTCAAAAATTGTATCGGAATCTGGTAACCTTCGATGAGCTATCAGTATCTGCCGCCATACCAAACATTTTAAAAATTAACTTAACGAAGATTGACTAAACAGTAATTTTGATGTCGCATGTAAGACCGTAAATAGTTCGACTGAGAATCGTATCAATCAGAAACGCTCCGGTTGTTTGTCTCGCTATCTGAATAACAATCATTCGAACAATCGAAATCGAAATTCCTTTTCTCAACGTATTATCAATTTGTCGTCTCAATCGCATCAACAAGTTGCTGTTAATGCGACAGTAGGCGACTAAGGCTCTCTTTGATGTGACGTGATTCTGGCCAAACAAAATGTCATTTCTCTACTCCGTAAACTCCGTATTTCCTCACAACAGTCAAAATCTTGTCAAGCACTTCTCTCTCATAAGAGACAAAACATTCTTGCCTTTTACTGACTTTGATGTTTTATCATTCAATGAACGACTCTTAAGATTAAGATTGAACATTGATACGCTTCTTCTTACCTTGCCGAATTTCGTAAGACAAGGAATTTTGTTCTTTCTCTCTATCGTCAAAAATTGCATATGTTGCTCCTATTCACAAAAAAGGCGCTCTTGTCGATATTACTAACATCGTCCTGTCTCTCTCTCTTCTTCCCGTTGTTTCGAAAGTTTTTGACCGTTTAATTTATAACTTTTTGTTCTGTTCTCATCTCTCTACACATTCTTTTCTCGTAAATAAACAATTTGGTTTCCACCTTAAACATTCCACTCTTGCTGCTTTGTTGTTTCACTCTCATACTGTCTCTAACTTTTGGAATGCTGGTGTGTAGTGTGTTGGTGGGTCTTTTGATTTTTCAAAAGCTTTCGATTCCTGTATCTCATTCTTTTTTGTTGGAAAAATTGTCCCTTTGTGGTGTAAGTGGTTATTTACTTTCTCTTTTGTCTTCTTACCTCGCCAATCGTCTACAGTGTGCGTGTGTGTGTGGATGACTCTATCTCTTCCCCTTTTCTTGTTTCTCCTGCCGTTTCTCTAGGCAATCCCTACAAAAAAATGTTGTATCGGCACTGGTTGTGCACGGATGCGTATCAGTGCCAGAAAGACTGTAAAAATCTCGCACTAATGCAGAATATTTGTTTTGTCAATTTCTGTCTATATGTATAAAATATGTGCACGAAAGAACAAAGGTTCTATTTAAAAATATGTTTGTACAGCACAGTAATTTTTTGTTTTCTTTTTCGGGTATTATCGTAAAATCAGTTAACTATCCTGTGAATACCCAAATCAATAAAATAATTTATATTTTTTTGTGATTTTTGCTTTGACATTTTTACTATGTATCTGTTTCTAGATGTATTTTTTTTCAAAGTGAGACAAAAATACGATTATCTAGAAAAATTAAAATCAACTAGAGAACTCTGTCTAAAGAGAATCAAAGAATACAGGTATGCATCATTTCTCTCGTAGGTGTATCGAACATGTTTGGTTGATTGGTTGATTGATATCTTTGAATCTGTCTTGAGTTCGCCTCTTCTATAAGATTTGCTTGTTATCAAAGAATAAATAAGTAAAGATCTATTGCTTTTTCTTTGTTTTAGGAAAAAATAGTATCGATTGTCAACAAAAGTTTATGACTTCTGAAAATTGAGTAAAAGAAAGATGCCTCGTCGTGAACAAACGGGAAAGAAGAAGGGAGCTAGTGATACGGGCGTTGTTGAAAAAAAAAGTGAACCACTTTATTGTATTTGCAAACGTCGAGAAGACGAAGTTAAAGATGATTTTATGATTGAGTGTGAGGCTTGCGAAAATTGGTTTCATGGCAGGTAAAAATTAGTATTAGTATAAGGAATGTTCGAATGTTTATTGTATATTTTTCTCTAGATGTATGTCTTTACCTGACAGAATAGCCGATGATTTAGAAAAATATTATTGTTCAGCATGCTCACCGCAACATGGGCCATCTGTTTGTATGCGAATTTGTCTTTATTGATTAAATAATTGGAGAAATGGTTGTTTTTAATTTTCTTTGTAGTTAAACAACGGTGCAATTTTCATCGACGAGATTACAGTGATCCGCTTGCGGAAGGAAAAGTAAAGAAGTTTTTTTCGCTTAGGAGTAATAACTTTTGTAATTTTTGCCATTTTTTTTTTCAGCCAGTTCAAACTGGTACTCAAACGTTTATAAACAGTCTGAAACGACGTGTATTTTTAAAGTATGTTTTACTTCTTTTTGTTGTCTCTGTTTTGAACATAAGCTAAATGTTTGAAGTGATTAAATTTTAGTAGTGACTCGATTATAATTCGTTTAAAAGGCAGTCAGTTAAATGTCAATTATTTTTATGAAAATGGATTCACAAAACCAATTTTTATTGCAAATAAAGAAGGTTTGGATATTTCTGTACCGGCTAAATCAATAACATTGAAAGAAATTAGTGAACTTGTGGGTAAGTTTTGAGGTCATATTTTGTTTTAATTATTGTTATTAGATTTATTGTTTTTAAGGGCCCAATAAATTCGTTGATGTTATTGATACAGAACGGCAAGCCACTTATTCAATGTTACTCAATGATTTTATTGATTATTTTGAAAGTTTTGAAAGAACAAAAACTTATAATGTACTTAGCTTAGAAGTTTCAAACACAAAGTAAGTTATGACAAATATGCCAGAATAGGAAATAAATAGTGTTCGTTATATCATAGATTGGGTGAATCGATTGTAACACCACAAGTGGTACGTGATTTGAGTTGGGCAACGATTGGTATATGGCCAAAAAAACGAGGAGAAGACGAAAAAGAAGATAGTGACAATGCCAATGTGAAAAAAACGGAATGGTCTCAACAAAGTGGAAGAAAACGTAATGAATCATCAGAATCATCTTCCGGTGAAAACGACATTAGCTATGATGAAGAGAACTTTGAACATTATGAAAGACCTGAAGTGGCAAAATATTGTTTAATCTCTCCAAAAGATTCCTATACAGGTACATTCATTAGAAATAAAAAAATTTCGTATTCATCGAACAAATAAGTTTTAGATTTTCATGTGGATTTTGGTGGATCTTCCGTTTGGTATCACATTTTGAAAGTAAGTATAGAATGAATGATTTCATTAGCACATGAACATTTATCTTACACTCAAAATTAATTTTAACGTCTGATACGTCTTTCTCCATACAAACAAAGATGATATATTTATTTTATAGGGAGAAAAAATATTTTATCTTGTCGAGCCAACAGATGAAAATCTTCAAAAATACATTGAATGGAATCGTTCTGGAAATGAATCAGAAACATTTTTTGGTGATCTTGTTAGTACTTGTTATAAAATGCAACTACGAGAAGAAAATACGATTTTAATTCCAGCCGGCTGGGTACGTATTTTAAAACTGTTTTTTGAATTATTTTTAACATAGATATTATTTTTATAATATTAAGATTCATGCTGTCTATACGCCATGTGATAGTCTAGTGTTTGGAGGTAATTTTTTGAATAGTCTATCGGTTGATATACAGTTAAGGTATACAAATTTGAACATATTCTTTTTCTCTTGAAAAAAATCATATATTTTTTTATAGAGTATATGAACTTGAACGTATGGCTCAAGTGCCACATAAATTTCAATTTCCTCTATTTGAAACATTTCATTGGTATGCAGCAAAACATTATTATGATGAAATTAGAGGTATACTCATTATTCAATTTCAAGATGAGATAAATAATTTTATTTTTCAATTTTTCAAGCACACAATGAAGCTCATGAATCCGTTTCTGATGTGACTAAACAAGCAGCAGATGCAATTCTTCGCCACATGAGTCAATGGCTATTAGCAGATAAAAAGGTTTGTTATAATATCCTATCTATATGCGCGCTGAGACGATTGTACAACTTATGTAGGCCTTTAGATGAACGATATTTTGCGTATCTTTTGAAGATAAGGTTCCTCCACTAATAGCAGCCATCTATGATCAGATAATTATATAGTTTCAGTGTTGCATTATTATAAGCTAGTCTTCCTGTGTAACAGCCATGCTTGCAAAAATAAAAATGCAGCTCAGTTCAGTATACATTTCTAGTGGTCAGAAATAAACGTGTCAGCCAATAAGCCGCCGATGGAAAATTTTGAAAACTTTTGTAGTAGCTTTTTGTAGAAAACTTGCACATAAGTAAGGTGCCTGTAATCCAAAATTCGAACAGAGTTTTTTTTTCGGTTTTTCTGATTTAGTTGGATGGAAAGCCCATCGAGTTACCTAGAAAAACATCGACTTTAGTTTTTATTAAAAATATTTTTCGTTAAAAAAGATTAAAATATCGGAGTTCGATCAAAGGACAAGTGGCAGAATGTAGGGTTTCGTCGAAACAAAAAATGGGTCGAAAACCGGTTTTTCAGAGTTTTTGACTCTCAGCTGCCATGAGAAGGGCCTGTCATGGTCTGAATGACTTTGTCTATATGTAATTCACTGTGTTTTATCCAAATATGTAAGAATCAAATTGATTGGGCAACGCTTCGGTCCTGAAACCTCCAATAACCTGAAGGATTTTCCCGTCTCCGACTTGTTGACTGTCAAAGGTACACCTAGAAACCTTAATCCAATAAGATATTTACACGGGAGATAGATTAAGCAGCGCCCTTTCTAATGGTGTGTCGTTCAAGTCGAAAATCAATGTCTAGAGGCTTCATCTGATCACAACAAAGTGAAGATCCGATTTTCAAGGTTGGTTGCTGACCACATTCCCTAACATAGAACCTTGAAGTTGGTAGCAAATGAAAGAGTGTGTCGAGTTCTATATATTTCGACGGAGAAAAGTTATGCTACACCTCGGAGTCTTGAGATAGAGATTTCTGAAAAGCTCGGTTTTCTAGTAAACCTAGTGATCTTAAAGGTTCCCTCAGAAGCTTTTCAACCATATCATTACATAGCCCCTTCAATTCTTCATAAAATGAGATGCTGGCCAAGTTTCTACGATCGTGGACCACCGAGTTACAGGCTTTTTAACATTCTGAATATAAATTCAGTCGCGTTAATACCGTTTTCGATCTGTATCATATTTTCTATGCCACTTTCTGAGACAATATCGTAGAAACTATCTCCCGTGTAAATATCTTATTGGATTAAGGTTTCTAGGTGTACCTTTGACAGTCAACAAGTCGGAGACGGGAAAATCCTTCAGGTTATTGGAGGTTTCAGGACCGAAGCGTTGCCCAATCAATTTGATTCTTACATATTTGGATAAAACACAGTGAATTACATATAGACAAAGTCATTCAGACCATGACAGGCCCTTCTCATGGCAGCTGAGAGTCAAAAACTCTGAAAAACCGGTTTTCGACCCATTTTTTGTTTCGACCGCCGTTTCACAGGGAAGCATTTTGATGAACTGTGAATGCAATTTGCGTGATCAGTATTCAATTCTGAGTCAGAAAAAGTGTTATTTTGCCGGTTCAGAGAAAAAATATTTTCGCGAATTTGAACGATCTGAGAATCCAGTCTTTCTCAGAATTCGACGCTGATTTCGAATATGTATGACTCATTACGTAATTTTTTAGGCACGAAACCCTACATTCTGCCACTTATCCTTTCACGACATTTTTTATAAAACAAAATTTCCATATTTATCGTTCTTTTCATCAGTCCTGACTGTTTTATTCGGATTTTCCATGCTAGTTGAGTATAAGAAACAAAATTTGAAAACGAAGTTAAAATGATCGATAAAAAATGAAATATGAGCCACACCTCTCAATTGCCACCAGTCTCCCTTACAAATCAATCAAGTCTTTCCAGGTACGAGAGGGAACAATTCTTTCGCTTCCATTCTAGTTCCTATATACGAGGTTACAGCTCGAGTTTGGATTGTGTTTTCTTGTTTGCTGAGAAAAACGAATTTTTTCGAAATTGAAAGATTTTGCCTTCCAAGGAGTTATCGGTTTCATATTTCAATCTTTTTTTAACGAAAAATAAATTTTTTTAAAAAACTAAAATCGTACTAAAACAAGTTCGGTAAATTTCTAGTTTTACTGTATTGTTTCTTCACTCTCTTTTTTAACATCAATTTTCTGTTGAGAGTTGTCTTATTCAGCATTTTTTTGACTCTTACATGTATTTATTAATTTGCTATTTGCGGACTTATAGAATGCACAAAACATCGTACTGGTAAACAAAATTCATTTTGCATATATTTGTTTAATTTATTCTGGTATTATATGCTTTGTTCGCACACTCCAATAGCTCTAAATTAGCTAAGTTGAAGAAACAATAAACTACCGCATTTGGCTGATCTTAAAGACCAAAAAAAGCGAGCACTTACGCTATCTATATCCTCGCTTTCAGCGGTTGCTTTATCATTCCTGCTTGACTCATGTGTATTTTTAATCTCTTCGTCATGCTGCACGTTTGCGCTAGCTTGTCCTGCTTTTTTATGTTAGACGTCATTTTCTAATACAAATAATACTTTTAATTAAAAATTAATCGTTTTCTTTTTTAGTATCAATTTAAAAATCGTCGTATTATACCAAAACATATAAATTGTGAAAAATTATTACGTGATTTAGCATCTGTACTTGAATTTTCGAAGGTACAAGCATCTTTAGTCACTATTTTATGATTAGTTTTCATTCTACTTTTTGTTTCAGACTTATAATACAAAATCGTCAGCACAATCGTATGAAAATTTAAAAATTATTCTTCCATTAAGCAATAAATATAGCAGTGAACTAGTCCAATTCAACGGTTCAAAAGTCTGTACATATTATTTTTTAATTATAATTTTCTACTATTACATTAATGGTTCTCTGTCTTAATAGTCGAAATTAAAAGATCAACGATCTTCAGATGATGCATTATCATTTGTTTCGTCAACGGCACCGTCTACTTCAGGCGGTGTAAAATTGACAATAAAAACTGGTTTGAAAAATACAGTTAACAGAATATCAAATGCAGATGACAATACAAAATCCATTAAAATAGCAATGAAACGTGAAAGGTAATAAATACAGTTATTTAAATTGTTAGCGGAATATCACAGTTCAATCTATCAAATACATATATTTCATGGTACTCAATTCTGACTTTGTACTTCTTAATGAGACATTTTTTTTCGTATTTTCAGCACCGATGTGAATAAATTGCGAACTAAACAGACTACGAATTTAGATGAAATATCGACAGGCAGTGATGTTCTTACACCAACTCGTTATACTTTGGGTACTTGTTAATACTCTTGTTTTATTGAGTGTTGAAAAATGTTTCTTTTTTTGATTTTCTAGATCTTGAAGCTAAGCGACAACGGTTTATATCTTCTACAAATAATGAGTAGGTTACTCGAATATTTTATTGACTCTGCTTAAAAAATATGTATGTTATCTTAGATTAAATTCCACACCAAATCGAAATTATTACAATGATGAAGATGACAGTAATAGTAGTCATGAGGAAGGTATTGGTGCAACTAATTTATTTGTTAATCCATCAAATGACAAAGATGATGATGATTTTGTGCTTGATAGCGAACAAATGAGTTATGGTGAGTATTAACACAAATAATTATTATTATAATGTTAATTAAAATCGACTTTTTCTTGATTTTAGATTATTCTCAAACAAGTTCGAGAACAAATCGAATACATACACGAGATCAGAAATTAAGTACATCGGAAAAAAAATCAGAAGACAGTAAAACATTATCATCAAATAGTAAAATAATTAGGTTTTTATGTTTTATTTACTATATAATAATCACCGTTTCTCTGTTCAGAAAAAGGTGTCAAATCTCGACCGAAATCTCAATTATCCAGCAGTACTGATAAAGATAAAACGGTGAGAAACTACTCTAGCCAAAACTTTGAACTTATTATACGTTTATAACTGAATTCCATGAAGGTATTGACATTTTTGTTTTTAGAAGTCGATCAAGAAATTAAAAACAAGCAGCTTGAAAAAAGATGAAAAAAAATCATCGACAGTAGTGTCAGACGCGTCTATTCAACCATTATCTAGTGATAATAACCCATCATCTAGCGATCCGAATTCATTGGCAGAGTCAGGTAAATTGAATCTATCCATATTCATCCATAATGAATCTATTCATTAGTCATCTCTGTCCTCAGAAAGATATTTCATAGTCAATCGGAAATTGATAGACTTTTCAAAAATCCATGAAAAATCTCTGCGAGGTTTCCACTTATCTAAAAAAAACTAAACATTGTATGCATGAGAATTTGAACCGATGAAGTAACTTGTTGAGAGTTTCTATTTTCAACGAAATAGCGCCGTCCCCTTTTCTTTTATTAATTTCCTTTTTTTAAACAGGTGGTCAGAAGAAATCTTTATCGTCAACAACGAGACAAGTACGAAATCCAAAATCGAAGAAAAAGTTGAATCCCAAAGATCGTTTGGGAAAAATTCTTAAAATTGCCAACAGTATCAAATCTCGAGGCGGCATTCTAACATAAACGTATAATACACAATTTGTTGATTATTTTGTTTTATTTTCAAAAATCTATTTAACACTCAGGTATTAATGTGTCCATTTCTATTAGTATTGGTCTATTGTTTATGTGCGTGTGTATGTGTGAGTGTGTGCTATTTTTTTTGCATACATCAGTTTTTGATACGAGTTATTTATAACCGTCAATGCATTTGTCAAATGTAAACCTTTTTTTTTTATTGTAATAGAATTTTGTTTAACTTCGCGACAATTATTTATTTCAGTTTGTTTTGTAAAACATTTATGAATTCGACAAGTTTTTTTTTTGTAAAGTGTCAAAAAGAAGCTCTCATATTTTCGTTTGTAATTATCAATTCTCTGATAATTACTTAAATGAATTCAAAGGGTCACTAAGTGACTTTTTATGTATAAAAATATGTATATAAAATGAAGAAAATACATTGAAAATAAAAAAAAAAAATTATAGGCGACTAGCTTATCCCATCAACTTGCCAGTTTCTTTTTCTATAATGTAAGAAATGTTTAATGATTATTCAGGTAATTTTTTCACTTGATAAAATGATATTTCCTAGCGATATAGGTACGTCCTTAATGGTGTTTTGAATTTCCTGTGTAAATATCCATTTTTGGAAGATCAGCTATCTATTTCTTCTATCACTAGAGATGAGATGAGATGAGATGAATGACTAACGTTATACTTCTCCGTTCTCTTTGTGTGACGTCGAACGAAATTTATTTTCTGTAACGTTATCCGTAGTATAGTAGTGTTTAGAGATGTAAGCCGATGAAAAAAACGGTGGCGGCGGGCTAAAACTCAGAGCTTTCGGCGGCTGGCGGCGCATTCCTCGAAATTTTTCGCCACCTTCGACTGGCTGAGCCTTCAAAACGAGAAATAACGCAGAAATTATAAAAATACTGTTTTATTTCATTATATTCAGAACGATCACACCTAACTATTATCTAATTTCATATAAAAAAACAAACAAGCGACACTGAGGAAAAAGCACGTAGAACTAAGACGCACACAATAACAAGAATAACTACAAAAAGGCTAATAAGAAAACGTTACCAGTACTCCTTCCTGTAGAAACAAAAGAGGGAAAAAATGTTTTCGACGGCTGGACCCATCGAGTCTTTCGCCGCCTCAAAATATAATATCTGCGTTTTCTTTGTCTTTGTTATTACCCCTTCATTGACAGCTATGACTCATTCTTTCACTGGTTGACTGAAATATAACGATATACTTTTAAAGGATCTGAAATAAAACTTTCACTTTCATTTTCGAATGAATTTAAAAGTAGCGGAAAGAAAAGCGAATAACGTTATTCATTTTGTCTCGTTCGGTAGTCAAATGCATGAATGGTCTCTTACGAACGCCATCTCACCTTTAACTACCACTATAATTTATGTAACTTTTCTTCTACATCTAAAATCAACTTTATCTACAACAACATTATTAAAGGATTAGGATGAACCTCAGTACAAGAAAATTTCCTAACTAGACTTAATTCTGTTCTTTCAGATACTATATCGATATATTTGTTGTGTAGTATATTGAATAATAAAAGTATGTGCGCATTCCTACTGAAACACAAAAAATGCGAATTTCACAGGTTTAGTATTAACAATTACATATTTACTCCGCGTTGAAGTTGTTTCCAGTCTTAAATTGCTCATAAAAATCCTTCATTTTCTCTTATCTCTTAATATGTGCCTGTAAAGTCGCCTTGACTTTCATTACATGATAATGACCACTTTTCTCGGTCGAGGTGCGACTTTTGTACTCAACGAACCAGTTCGCCTGACCTGAAATCGACCCAGCATTTGTTATTACTACAACGTGTTCAAAATACATAGAAACCATCTTATTTGATGATTTCGACTCCTCTGAGCGCTTCCGGTTAAACATATCCGATGAAATCAACTTGAAAACAAACACTCTCATAACACCAACAGTAAAACCAAAGTTTCTTCGTAACTATGCAGCATTTAGCCTAGTGTAATACACGTAAGCAAAGTAAATTCCAAACTCCTATTTGAAAGTAGGATTTTGAGAGGATCTTCGTAAAATCAGCCAGCCACGGTCTCCAAAAAATGAAAAGACAATATACTGATCTTTTTCTATCAGTAGATAGCTCAAAGTGTCCTCTTTAAAATGGCAGTCAGGAGAGACCACGATTACCAGAGATTCGAGCGTGATATCAGATTTCCTTGGAGTCTCAGGCCTCGTACTCGGCGGCATCGAATAGTCTTGGAATTACATGGAACATACGTAATCAATAACACTGAATCTATTAACAATGCTTGTTTTTGAAAACAAATCCAAAAGTCGGGTGAAAATCGAGTTTTACGAAAACTGGGATTTCCAGACTGTTTTGACCTAATACTAAAAAATTCACTATTCATTCAAAAAGCATCAGAACGAGTTGAAAACTTCAGGATAGTTGATTAGTTAATTTCATTCACTAAAGGTGATCATGCCACCGGAAAATCACAAAATTATGCAATTACTCAATCCCTTTCTACAAATCCTTTTTGAAAATGGTAGCATTTTGTAAACTCTTTTTGTAGATTCCTTATAAATAGAATATAAAATAGTCTCGATACTGTACGTCCTGAAGTTTTCAACTTGTTCTGATGCTTTCTGAATGAATAGTGAATTTTTTAGTATTAAGTCAAAACAGCCTGGAAATTCTAGTTTAGTCAGTTGTAAAACTCGGTTTTCACCCGGCTTTTGGATTTGTTTTCAAAAACAAACATTATTAATAGATTCACTATTGTTGATTACGTTTTTCCACAGATCGGCTCCAAAAGTCTAAAAGCATTCTCCACTATCATACTCAGAAACATCATCATCAATTACATATATGTCTATGTCTCTTACACAAAAACTGATTTATAAATTGAAGCCGTTTCCTCGTGAGCTAGGTTTTTAATAAGAGGTTGCACTCATCTTGTGAAATAACACCTTTTCCTCAATGACGTTTACATCAAATCAAATTTAGAAATACAAAAAACGCTCTAGCAAATAACTTTTTTATTCTTTTCATTCTTCTTTCTCTATTTCGTTATTAGTCTAAAAGTGTTTGGTCGAACAATTATTCGTTGTTACTCCAGTTCAGTACAAAATAGTAGTTTTAATCAGGATACGCAGTTCAATCAACATTCTAAAATGGCTCAAAATTATCCTAATACCAACAAACATTCAAGATCTTTATATGCTACCTCTATCTCACATCCGACAACGATATCACTTGTCTCACAATTGACATCTCCGTTAATCGATATAGGAGCGAATTTAGGTCATAGATCATTCAATAACGATCTTAAACCTGTGCTTAAACGAGCTAGTGACTGTAAACTGTCTGACGTCATTATCACCGGTACGAGTGTCCGTGCCAGCCGTCAAAACATTGAATTATGTAAAACATATGAGCAACAACAACAAGATGTTAAATTACATTGCACAGTGGGAATACATCCTCACGAGGCAACTCGTCACTCATTGTTCAATTATCGTCAGCAGTTAGTCGAATTATTAGATAAAAAAGATAACTACGTCGTCGCTATAGGAGAATGTGGATTAGGTAATACTGATTCAATTTTTTTGAATATTAATCATTTAAATTTATTTATTTTTATCTCTAGATTTCGACAGAAATTTCAGTAAAGAACATGATCAGTTGAAAGTATTTGAAAATCATTTAGAATTAGCCGTAGAATATAATTTACCTCTGTTTATGCATGAACGTCAAGCAAGTACTCAAATGATTAATTTACTTGAAAAATATTCTAATCACAAAAACTTCCGTGGTGTTATTCATTGTTTTACTACATCGTCAACTGATGCACTCAACAAATATTTGAATATGAATTTGTATATTGGAATAACAGGATGGATTTGTGACGAACGACGAGGAAAAGATTTACAACAAATTGTACACAATATACCGTTAGATAAATTATTAATCGAAACAGATGCACCTTTTCTATTACCGCGAACAATGCCAAAACCGTGGCCACAAATTAATGAGCCTAGTAATTTAGTTTATGTTGCTGATAAGATTGCCAAATGTTATAATATGTCAATAGATGAAATAGGAAAACATTCATCAGAAAACACAAAACGATTATTTCAAATTTAATATTTAGTCTTGTAAGAAAAACAATAATTAGACAGCAAAACAAATCAATTTAAATTAGGAAATTATCACATACTCTTTTGTTTCTAAAATAATGATCACATACTCTTTTCGTGAGTTCTAAAAGCACCAATATATAGTATTACGTCTTAACATTAGTGAGTATTGAGGGTGGTTTCACACGATTTGGAACTTATTTTTCCTCGAAGACATTTATGAAAGTAATATATGAAGTAAATAATCAAACCGCAAATATTCTCTTTTTTAAATGAGGCGAGAGTCGTGAACGTTTGATCATGGATAAAGCAGAAAATGGCTGTGAAAGTGGTAGAAGACATGTAAAATATTATTCATATTATTCTTGTTTATAAGATAAATATAAGTCGATATTACTTGAACAATACATCTTTCAACGATCAGATAGTGATGAATATTATGGAAACCTATTAAGACTATCTCCTTAGAAACTTGTTTTATTTTCAGAGATGATTGGTTTTTTTTGTATTAATTTGTGAAAGAAAAATGTTAAGTTACTATTGGTGCTTACTATGTATGTATCGGATTTAGGTAAAAGCTATATAAAGAGATAGAAACATCCTTTAACTAGATGTCTGTTTTCTAATCTTACCCTTCCTTTGTCATCTACAATGACGTTTTATTTTCTGTTATATGATTAGTTATTGTGTTAACGTTGTTTTGTTATTTGTTTATAGTTATATAAAATTTTCTCAATGTTCTTTATCATTTCCTTGAAGGGCAGATTCACAAATATGATTTAAATGACAAATACATCAAAATATTTCAAACTTATAAATGTCTTATCTAGATAGTAAACTTGACGTTCAGAAAACTGAGATGGCTACAAATGCTTCGAATAGTCAAGTAATGATGAACGTCACTGTTAATATTTTTTTTAAAGACTACTCAGGAAAAAACGAACATTTCTGAACGTATAGGTTTTGCTGGGACCCACCTATCTCAGTGCGGTTAGCTGTGACAACCTTAAAAATAGGTCCAAACGTAGGTTTTCGACCATGTCGAGTCTCGTGACAATGGTTGTTTTCAGAAGAAAATTCAAGAACCTAGTGGAAACCTATAGTAGGTGAAATAGCCCATTTGTGGCTATTTTTACCGAAAATTAAAAAATTCATAACTCAGTCAAAATTGATTCAAACTACTTCAGAACTTCAACGAATACTTCATTTTGTCTATCGTATATTCTGAATTTCAGTAAAAGTTTTAAAAATAAATGGAAAGTACTTTAATTTTTGAAAAGATTTTCTAGAAATCTTTGGAAGAAAGCAAATGTTTTTTTCTAATCTTAAGTACAGGACCAGATTCAGCAGACAAGATGGAGTATCCGTTGAAGTTCTGTAGTAGTTTGGCTCAATTTTGGCTGAGTTATGAGTTTTTTAATTTTCGGTGAAAATAGCCACAAATGGGCTACCTATTAGTGGATGGGGGGACACCTACTATAGATTTCCACTAGGTTGTTGAATTTTCTTCTGAAAACAACCATTGTCATGAGACTCGACGTGGTCGAAAACCTACGTTTGGACTATTTTTAAGGTTGTCACAGCTAACCGCATTGAGACAGCTAGGTCTCAGCAAAACCTATACTGTCGGACAACCATGACAGCTAGCGACCTCGTGCTTGCGTACTTGAGGAGAGAGGACCCTTTAGACTATCTGACTATGTAATTTAAGAGAAAATTTCATTCTAGCTTCGGTAACTGGCGATCTCATCTTTTTTCAGCCGTGAGGTGCACCACCTGAAAATCGGGATTTTGAAAGTCTCCATATATGAAATGATGCAGTAAAGTCTTCTCTATAAGATGGTAAAAACAACATCTCTCTATCACCTTTCGTTCCCAAGTTATTCAAAAAACATCCACGGCCATTATATTTTGAACTGGATAATAGTAACTATATTTATATGCTCGGTAACATAGTCCATATTGTTAGCTAGGGTAGTTTTCAAAAATAGAAGGTTATAAGAATGGCATGATCAGTGTCGGTGGTCTAAATCCTAACACTTTTGACTGACACTTCTTATTTTTAATATGATATATTACGTTGAAGTTTCACCATGAAACACGAAACTTTGAGTTAGAAAGTAGGAAAGCCTAGATTAAGTTATATGACAAGAAAAGATGCTTTGATAATCAATTGGCTTTTCTACATGCTTGTTTGATCGAACTAAACAACATAAGTGAAAATACACTAGGAAAAAAGAAATTTATAGTAAAATCGGCGATATTCATTCTAGTGTCATTGTATGAAAAAGTATCAGAACGTTTCATATCTGATTTGCATAACGATTGTAAGTAGAACAAGGTGATTTATAGATATATAAAATAAAAAACAAAGATAGACACAAAAATCTAAAAAATGTAATGTTGTTTATGTATTATTGCCTTTTTGTTTTTCTTCTTCCGCTTTTCTATCTTTTAAACGATTTAATATTTTTAATTTTTCTTGTATAATTCCATCTCTCGCAATAGCTTGTTCGCGTCGATGTTTTTCTGTTTGAGCACGATTCATTTGACGATGCGCTTCTAACTAAATGTATTGGAAGAAAAAAAATCGTTATATGAAAACAATTATTTGATTTTCAGATCTACAGATAAAAAACATATATATGAGAGGGAAGAAAGAGCTATTTCGAACTATTCGTACATACTTGATTCTAACTCATCTTGATTTAGTTGGTTTTGTAGATAAGCCTATACAATTCACTATTGGATGATAAACTATCAAAATAGAAGAGAAGACGATATGATCATGGTACGAATAGGAAATAACTTTTTCTCTCAATTTATGTTTCACAACACTTACATCTTCTTTTTTACATTTATACATTTTTATTAATAAATTATCACAGTTTCCCATTAAACGACTTTTATTTTCCACACAATCATAAAAATCATCTAATACCTGATTACATTTTGGATCAAGAAATCGATGTGTACCAGGAAGAAAAGCCATGAGACTGTCTGAATAAGTCTGAAATAAGTAAAAAGATTCACAACAGTGAATAATAATGGCAAAAATCTTGGTATCATCTAAGCCTTGTTAGAATCTTTTTGTTTCCGTGTACAAAAAATAGTGTTTGTTGTGATTATTATTCTTTGTTGTTCTGCAAGTTAATGAAATATTATAAAGGACGAAATCGAAGTTTCATTCTTTGTTTTCTATTTTTCATCTATAAAATGACAACAAAACACAAATATTCTTTTCTTTCACAATTGACACTAAAAAGACATACACGATAGATAACAAAGAAAGCTACAAGAGAGAAAGATATTAATGAATAGACAACGGTAAGAAAATAACAGTCGTATAAAAAAACAAACAAGAAAAGAGCAACGTCGTCGACTCACATTTATGACTTATTAAAAAACACGATATTCTTGATAAAATACGAAAAGTGAAGTACAATATCCGTATTTCTTTCAGCATTAAGTTCATGTCACCGACCACAATTCTTTCGCCATGAAATAAACTACAATATATTTTTCATTTTCGGTACATAAGTTTGTACTCAGAAAAACACATCTATGTGTATTATTATGATGAATAAAATTTTGTCTTCTACATCGCCTTGACTTTCATTTGTTTCATTTTTGGCTGTTTTCGTTTCATTTCACGTTTATGTTCTTTTTCTTCCCATTTTCGTTGTTTTTCAGGGTCATTATCTAAATATGATGACAATTAGTGTACGGAAAAGTTTTGATGAAAAAAGAATAATAGGAGAGCATCATTTAAACTATATTTTGAAATTAACAAATGAATAGCTAGCTTACCTTGCATTATTTTCTCTTTTTCTTGTCGACGTTTTTCTTCTCGTCGTTGTTGTGCTTGTTCTTGACGTTGTTGATAAACAGATTTTAAAAATTGTTCTTCTACTCGTTGACGATTTTTATTTGCTTTGAGTTTTGATTCTTTACTCAATGAAAAATGTGAGATATGTATACGTTCAATTAAATGTAATACGAGACGTAAATAATCAATGGTATTTTCTGTATTAATAACGATTGATTGATCTTTTTTTGTTTTAATATTAAATGCAACAGTTAGAACACGACGTACAGAACGTTCACTTGTATTTAATGCATCTTGTTGTTGAGATGTAGAGCCGGCTGTGGTTGTTGTCGATGGTTGAGCAGAAGTATTTGTCGTTGAAGGAGGTTGTTGTTGATCGGCATTTTTTGTACCGGTATATTGGTCACTAACGTGAATATATTCAAGTGCTTCAGGAAATCTAAAAATATTACAAATCTCCATAAAATTTTCTTCTATCAAAAATAGCATCCGTTTTAACTTGATATAAAATTTCTCATATATCAAACTAAACTAAATACTTACCGGTCAATAAAATTTGTCACATGTGAATCAATTAGAGTAGTTGCTACTTCTCCAATTTCATTTAACAATTGATAATTTGCACCTAATCCTCGTTTATCGGCACTTTTACGTTCTGAACAAAATTGACTTAAATCATTCATATCTCTATGTAATTTGGCAGCACATCTTTTACGTGCTAAACAAAATACAAATGTATCGATATCATCTTTACTATAATCAATTGTATAAACAACGGTATCGTTGACTGATTTAATTACAGATGCCATTAAATTAAATAAACATTGTCGTTTAATAAATCGTAGTTCAACAAGCATACTTTCAATATAAATTCGACCCGAACACCATAATACATATAAATTTTCTGATTCTTTAACTAAACTGTTGTTACTACTTTGTTCGTCTGTTAAATTATTTGTACTCGTTTTATTTAAATCTTTTGTTTGACCATTATCACCAACGACAGTAAAATTTTTTTCTAATAAATTTCGTTGCGTATTATAAAATACAGTTGCTAAATTTGAATTTTTTGTACGACCAATAAGAAAATTAATTAAATATCCTAATAGAGCAGCAATCATTAATGCTTCACAAGGATAAGCTTCCCAAAGATTACCAGTAAAAACTACTGGTACTTGAGCAATTTTAAAATCAGCTGATTGTTGCTTGGACGATTGAACATTGTTCTCAAATATTTCAGATTCAGAATTTTCAAATTCCTCTTCATCAAAAACTAAATCATCATCATCATCAGTCACCATTACTCCATCATCGTCTTTGGTGGTTGATGCTGAATTTAATGGGATTTTCGATAAACTCGGATCATTTTTTGCACTTTGTTGTTGAGGCGGTGATTGTTGTTGTATTTTTGAGGCGGGAGTTGTTGAAGGCGTCTCTGAAATATAAAATAAAACGAGTTCACGCTGTCATCATAGTTGATCACTTAAAATACAGACCTATAACAAATTCTTCTTCATCAAAATCATCAAATTCAGAAAAATCATCATCCTTAGATCGTTTGTTCGAATAGCAAACATTAAACAAGAGATTCAGAGATAGAAATAAAAGCAGAAAACAGTAGTGCATATCTAAATAAATAATGACATTATTGAAATAATTAATAAAAAATATCCAAAATTTTTCTTAGGTGCGAGAAATCGTTGTGCATTTGTTTTTAAAACAAAACTTTTTAATAAAATCTTCTGCAACAATTTAACAGTGGATCATTGAAACAAACATATCCATTAAGCAGAATTCACATAGCGTAGAGTTAAATTCGTCACTGCTCTTTTCAACAAAAAAATTAAAAAAAACGCTAGACTCTCATCTTTTGGTAGATTTGTAGTGTGATTTAGATTGCAGTTTTTTGGTTGTTCTGATCGTCTGTTCTTGAAAACGAACAGTATAACAAAAGGACAAGTCGACGATATAACAAATCAGTAAGATAACTCAGATTCGTAAAATACAAAAATTACGAATTTGTCCTAAATTTTGAAGAATTTAAACCATTCAGAGATTGCCGTTGAAAGAAAAATGTTTTTTTCTTCTAGAATTAAAACTTATTTTCCCTTGACTTTCTTACTATAGGGTCTTACAAAATGGTTGTCTGTGTGCCTGTGTGATTGTGTGTGCGCAAAATATAAAAAAATGGCTGTCAGATATTCCATGGATAAGCCAATTACAAGAGAGCAAAATATAAAATTATTTTTTACACGAGAGAGAAAATATTCCAAGAAATGACTGAAGTAATATTTACTGATCCAGAGAGATAAAAAGCTAAGCAAACCTTTTCTGTAGTTCGGAGGTATATGTCGCTAGAAATGAGTCAATTTTGATAACACAAAAAAGTCATCTACGGATGATAAAAGTTACAGAATACAGATAATTCTTCATGGCGCATCCATGAGAAATGGTTCCAGTAGCCTTAGGTTCTTCACAAGGTGTCCTGAAAACGTTTTAGCTTCATATGATATTTGAGGGGCGCTTTTTTCTGTAGAATCAGAGAAATTTAGAATATTTCTCATATATCTGAGGTGCGAACGGACAAGAGAGTAATCAAAATAATGAAAATAGAGATTGTAACGTTACAAAAGATTAAGTTGTATTAATATTAAAGATATAGAGGAAAGAGAGAGTCTGTTAACGATACAGTTCTATGTTGGAAAAACAAAAGTATGAATTTCATCATGAGTGATGAAAACGTTTAGATGCTATAATGTATTTCATAACAACAATGCACAAAATAGCTTTATGTGAACGGAGCAGATTATTGTACATCAATTTGTTCAAAACAGTTGCGTAAGACTACAAATGTAACTATTAACGTCAGTCGAATTTTACACTTTAGTCTTCTGTGGAAAAATATAGTTAAGCACACAGCTAGCATTCGGTAACATATTTCTTTACATTTGTTTTGTTTTTGAGTGTTGTTTATAATCTTGTCTTGTTATTCAGCTCGATTTCTGTATAGTTAATTGATTATACTTTCTTGATAGTAGTAGTAAAGAAGTACCCTTCTCTGGAATGTCATCTAGTTTGCTCACTTGTTTTCAAAAAATCATTAGTAATAGACTTTTTGCATAGGATTTCGGATTTAACTTTGATATCTATTACAGCACTTCTTTCCTATTAATAGTCATGGTAAAATTTGCCATGCAACATTCAAACTTTTGGTAGGACGAAAAATGAAAAAGCAATTTCAAGTTGGTTAATTCTAAATTTAGTGAAGACGGAACATTTTACAAGTTATTTCTTTTCAACTAGCATGAAGTTAGTCACAAAATATTACTTCGAATGTACTTATTTTAGGATGATATTCAATTTGATGAGGATAATGCTGATGAAGTTTTGAAAGATCGATAGAGGATTTTAAGGGCTACATTTTGGCCAAGGGCTAAAGTTTTGTTTTCTATGTTCTTTGAAGTTCAGACTTTGCTCTTTCTAGCGGAAAAATAATAAATCGCCAGCGCATCAGGAACATGCAGAAATAATGCTCGACATTTTTTCCATTTCTTTAGCACCATACAACCTTCTCAGCTCAAACTTCGGTCCAATGTTTATGGATTTGCACGTTTCAACGAGTCATGTGAAAATAAAGTACAAATGTCTGGCAAAATTTGTGGTCATATTGTAAATGAACGATACTTGGACAAGCATGACAGCTCAGCGAGTAGATAGACAATATGTTAATTATAGTTTGTCGAATGGCTGTTGTCAAATACACTGTCACAAACTTGTGTAGGGAGGTGACCCCCTCAAACTTTTAGAATATATTTGAAAATTTAGTTTTTGGTAAGCATTAAAAAATTAAGATAAGCTACAATGTAGTACTATGATACCTTTTTTTTGCTCGAAGTTATATCAGATCGAAATAATCTCCTAATAGAACAAATAATGGTTTCTCAACTGAGTTACATGATTAAAATATGGATTATATCTCAGTTGAGACGTTACGTTATAAAATCAACATTTGCAACATTTGCTTATTCTCAATATAATGAATAGAAAGGAGAAAGATATCTTCCCTCTTCCAGTACGTGGTTTGTCTATAAAATAAAGGAATAGCACTCAGTTGTCTACCAGTGTTTTTATTAGGAATTTGTTTCAGAGTGGAACTTTTCACTTTGCTGTGAGCGTTAAAATGGGAGTTTCCCGTTTGATAAGAAATGTAAAATGGGCAAAATGGGAACAGTTGAAATTTTTGTCTAATAGTGGCTAAAAGAGATTTTTTTTATCATCATCGGGATTTCGTTTTACCACTGTCGGTTAAATGGACCGAAATTAACTTCTCTACCCTGATCAACTACAAATTTAACAACAAACACCTTAGACGACTCATCTAAAACAAAATGTAAACAATGTAATTTGAATTGATATTGAATCTGAACCAATCTATTCTATAACGATTTGAAATGCTGTAATCACCGTTCTATGTTCGTACTTTCATTTTTGAGCTCAAATTTTCTTGTACATGAGCCTAAATATTTCTGCTTGCGTTCCTTTTTACATATCTGCGTGTGGCTCTATTTGTCTTATTTTTATTGTTATCATCTCTTCGCACTTTTTTTACAGGTACTTACACGACATCTATTATGTCGGCAACTCGCGTGATTGACATGGAATTGACTCTGTGTATTTTGAGCAGAATATTAGCGGGCAATGACTTTCTTTTTCTAAAACTTTCTAAGCGCAAGTCTTACAGAAATTTACCGGAAAAAAACACGAATCTCGTATGCATGAGCGAGTCCGAACTAGAAGATTTTTTGACGGGCTCGGACTGGAGATTTTTTTGAAGGACTCAGACTCGGACTTGAGTTTTTGTGTTTCGAGTCCGATCTGTTCAACTTTTAACACAAATGAACAAAGAAAAATGAAAAGCGAAATGACTACACCTTCTGTTTCACAAGAAATTCAAAATTTTGTTCAGGAGACGGACATGCAAAGTAACCTTATTGCAAACCATCTTCATCAAAAAAGAATCTAAAAGATTAACGGACTCGAAATGGAGTCGGGTTCTGTCCTTAATGTTAAAGACTCTGACTCGGCTTGAATTTTTAAGGACTCGGACTCACCCATACCTGCATGGAACGAGCAGTCGCCCATGTCAATATTAAGAAAATACATTGATATTAATAATAATTTGTTATTGTTTCTTCTGCTGGTCGCACATACTGTGACATGCGTTCTAAGGAAGTGCCTTTTGTCTGAGGAAGTAACGATGATATTGATATAAAATTAATTAATTAATTAAATTTCGGAACCGATATGGTTTGTGTCTACCTACTCACGGCCGACTCTTGAACGTTCCTTGTTTTTGAAGCTCACAAAAGCCTCTTAATCTCGCTCCTGCTGTCCGTAGTAGAGACAAAGTCTGAGCGTTTTGCTTAGTATGTCATTTATAATGTCTTCGTTTAGGCTCAAATTCGCAAACTTTCCATTTCCAATTTCCATTCCAATTTTCTCCGCTCTCGGTGGTGACAAAAGTTTAACGACATGGCGGTGGCGGTGGCGGAGGAAGTCAGAGCAGCTTTTCTCCGCTGTCAGCGGCGGCGGTGTACATCTCTCACCATATGAGTATGTCTGTTGAATATACATCCTTGCATAAGAAAAAAAATTCGAAGTATGAAAATATTCGGACTTATATGCAAACAAGAGTGTAAATCAAACGATGATTCACGAACTTTCAAGATTTTGGTACAAGAAGTCAAGAAATTCCAAGATACTCGAGGCCTTCATCCATGAAGTTGCACCAGGGTGAGCGCTTCTGTCGACACTTGTCTAGCGCGAGATATTGTTCTTAACTTTTAAGCAAAGTTTGGTTATAAATTCTCTAATCTACCTATACTCTGGTCGAATAGAAAGGCGAAAAAGTATGATAGTCAAAAGCATTTTTCTAAGATTAATTCCTTAGTATGACTGAATTATGCAGTGATATTGCCAACCCTATTATATCTTTAGAAGTAATAGAGGACTTTTTAAAAAAATATATCTTATATTTTATTAGTATATTGGTTAGGACCTATTGGGAATTCTGGTCAACAAAACTGCGTGTACATGCGAAATGATGTGTGATGAGTCGAAAAAAATTTTCACTTCCGGGGAACTGTAACGAAAATTTTTTTAGTTGTAACCGCGCATTTTGATTATACGGCCAAGGGCTGAATAACGTCATCCATTAGGCGGTTTTTGGGGCCACTTTTTGCGAGCCCAGAGATATCGCAAAAAGATCGCAATCAATAATTATCCATTCATAATAAATTTGAGCATCGGCAATTCAAAATGCTCTTAGACTGCATTAGTAATTTGAACAGATGCACAGACTCTACATCTATTTAAATCGTAGTGTAGTCTAAGTGTAATCTTAAATTTTTGCCGTTGGCCGTACCATCATTTTTCGTAAGCATTTTTCCCGCGTAACGCTAAGTAGAGATTATGAAATGTGCTGTGAGTATCCGTGTATTTTATCGTAGGACTAATCAATTTACATTTGTTCACATGTTTATGAAATATTCTCACGCTCGATCACGAGAAAGATATTGAGTTCATGGAATTTACTTCGTGAATAATATGCACGTTTAATTGAAAATGAAAGTTTTCGGATTAATGCGCGCTTCAAGTTCGATTGAGCGTGAAAACGTTCACAATTTTGTCTGTGCACAAAATACGCAGAAATGACTGTCACATATCCCATGGATAAGCCAATTACAAGAGAGCAAAATATAAAATTATTTTTTACACGAGAAAGAAAATATTCCAAGAGATGACTGAAGTAGTATTTACTGATCCAGAGAGATAAAAAGCTAAGCAAACCTTTTCTGTAGTTCGGAGGTATATGTCGCTAGAAATGAGTCAATTTTGATAACACAAAAAAGTCATCTACGGACGATAAAAGTTACAGAATACAGATAATTCTTCATGGCGCACCTATGAGAAATAGTTCCAGTCGCCTTAGGTTCTTCAGAGGGTATCCTGAAAACGTTTTAGCTTCATATGATATTGGGCGCTTTTTTCTGTGGAATCAGATAAGTTCAGAATATTTCTCATACATCTGGATTGCGAACGCCGACCGAAGGGAGGTGTGATCATTATTTTGAATTACGAAATAGTTTTAGATCTTTGCGGATCTTTGGAAGATCTCAAGAAAACTTTTAGTTTTATATTAGACTACGAAGCGTACACATCTAATCAGAGAAAACTTCATAACATATTTTGAATAGTCACCTAGCGAACACCGACCGAAGGTACTTGTGAGCGTTATCTTTAATTCAAAGTCATGGAAGGTCATTCGCAGATATATGTTCCTAAAGTCAAGGGACCGATCGAGTGCAGACGAGCGTTACCTGGTGAAATACTTCACTGAGTTTCATTAGAAAAATGTCTTATCCTTTCAAAATGGTACGAGGTACGCCTAATATTCGACCTTTCATGTTATCATGTTGTTATTTTACACGTATTCAGAAATATCAGCTACCCTTGTCTGTTCCAGCTTTTCTGGTAGTCGACATTAAAAGTTTACATGGATTTTTTAGGTGTCATTAGCGAAGCCTTCATACAATTGCACATGTTTGTAACCAATTAATATATATCAGATACTGCATTGATGTTTTACTACTCCAATAATTTTGAAATGAATTTTCGTCGGTTGAGCAATTAGAAAAGGAACTAAAAAATTTCGTGACTATAACCACAGATATAATCGCTTGAAAAGCATCTTTCAATAAAAACGAATAATATTCTGGAAAGAAAATGGCTATTTGACATTCACTCAGGTTTTTTCTGTTAAATAAGTTGCTGTATTGAGTCTAAGCCACTTTTTACACAAATGAAGTTTTCATTTATTCGTTGAGAAAAACTGACTTTCTTTTTCTAACGTGATAGCTTTCTTTTCGGGTGTATATTTTAGGCTATCTAACTCTCAACTAATCGTTTTCTTTCAGCTTCAAATTTCGGAGTAGTTCCATTCATATAGTCGATATATAATTGTAGATAGAACTTATCCGTTTTTAGTGTAAGATACCAGATATCCTATTAACTTAAAAAGAGTATGGCTCCAAAAAAAGCAAAAAAGACTGCAATGAAAAAAGCTGGCACGATGGTAACTACTGCGAATGTAAGTATTGTCAACGTTATATTTTTTTGGTGAAATTCTTTGTTTGATTATAAATTCTAGGTCGGGCAAGAATTTCTGTCGCGTTCATGGGGAGAAGATAAACTTAATAAAGTGAATGCAATCTTAGACGAACGTGATAAAGCAGTTGATGGGACAAGCGATAGTAGAGCAACTAATCATGCTTCATCAAGTAGTGCTATCACATCTGGTACATCATCCGTTACTAAACCAAAATTAGCCAAACATGTGACAATGGCAGCGACAACTAAAGTAAAGAACTTCATTAATTTTTTAATAAGTTTTTGTTTTTAAACTTATAACATGCTTTGTATTTTTAGGAGGCAAAATCATTAATTGGCACAGAAGCATTTGGTAAGAAAAGCTTGTAGTTGTTCTATTATCGTAACCCCACCGGTTTGCAAATACATATCCGCAAGCTGAGAGAGAAATACCCTAAACATAACCACTATTTTTGCGATAATAATTATTTTCTAAACATGTTTTATCCTTTCTACGATCTATTGGAAGATTCAGAGATGCAGATTTTCTAATGAGCGTTCTACTGTAGGAAACACCCGTTCGGAAACAGTTCGTCGAAAAGCTGCAGAAAAAGCGAAGAAAACGTTAAAAGAAGTGGGAAAACCTCAAGGACGAAAACCCAAACAACAACAACAAAAGCAAACAAAAAAGCCTGCTCTCAAACGCTTGGGAACGATGGCACAAACTGCGGCAGCTGGAAAAGAATATCTAAAACGTGGTGGGAAAAAATCAACGACACCTGGGGCAAACAGAAGAGGTGGACGTCGTAAGAACACCAAGAAAAATTAAACAACAGGTGCGATAATTATAGAGCATTTTGGCCAAAAATATGATGAAGTAAAACTCTATTGAAAATTGATATATGTGTACGTGAGGGGGTATATGAGTAGAAAAAAACGAATTGCCTTTTAAAAACACTTGCTTTATTTTCAATTACCTTCTTCTATGTTGTTTATTTTGGTAACTACCTTTCCATAAGTATAGTTACAAATTTTTCTTGTAATTCTACTACTTAAAAATGTCATAGGACGGTTATTTACGTAGCTTATTGCTTTCCGCTGAAGAACGAATGCACATTTGTCCTGCCTCTATGCTCTTGGTTCTATCTTCTTTTTGCGTCTTACTTCGAGGTTTCCGCTCTATAGACGCGTCTATTTTAGAAAAGATTTTCGTTTATTATAGTGTTTCTTGTATTATATGTTTTTTTTAAAGCAATTTTCATTTTTCACTGTCCAATTATTCCGGACAATATTTTAAGATAATTTTTTGTTGTTTTGATTTCTCTTTTTTTTTCTGGGCTAATTAAACACGTTGTGGATAGAGCATTTTCCACCACTCGTGGTAACTTTTGATCAAATTTGTCATCAGGGATCAACTTATTAAAGATCCATAACAGTGAAAGAGTCTTTTGTTTCTTTACAACAAAGAAACAGTAGTGCTGTTATGTACGTTTCCTTTCTCTCTTTTTATAAACTCTTTTCCATTGTGTGTGTACGTTTTCTTTTGACTATTTATTGTGCGAGTATGTAGTTGTATTTTTTCTCGTTTTTGCGTATATAGCAACATATTTATAAGAAAAATATTTGTCGACATATACACGATCGATTTTTAACTTTCATTTATGATAAATAAAAAGTATGTATAAATTTTTATAGAAATATCGATATGAATACATCATATTATATTTCGTCCTACTCTACTTTTGTCTGTTTTGACGGACAAGCAAAAAATCGATTTCTAAGACGTATTTAGGAAATTTCCCAGCAGTCATTTAGTTCCCCAAGATACTGTAGAAAGAGGAATGTTTATTTTAGTGATGATTATTCAATAAACACAAAGTTTTTTAGAACTGAGTCTTGTGTAAATATACATCGGTACTAATACACGAAATCATTCGTGACTATTCATAAAGAATGATCAACTGTTCACAAAAACCATTGATTATAAGGCTATATTATCAGTAAGTAAACTTAATTAACAGAAACGAAGATGCGTGTGTTCGAATCTCTATTCGTACAAAAGTGATTTTGTGTTTTTCGATAGTTTTAATTTAGAATACTATAACGAAATTATTTCGCCTGTATTCTGAAAGAAGAAAGCTATTATCAAACGAATATATAAAATGTTCAGCGAAACCGATATTGATCAATACCGAATCTCCAAAAAACTAAAAGACATCAGTGTATATCTCATACAATTCTGTACCAAATAGTGTACACGATAATTAGGACAACTTTAGAAAATACTCCAATGTCTGCTGAAAAAAAAGATTCAATAGGAAAAGTCTTTTCTCACACATACTACTATTAAAGATTGTTTAAAAGATGATTTATATTCCGTAAATAAAACTATCAGAATAGCTATCATACAAGTATTATAATATTAAAAAATCCCCTTGTTTTTTCTATAGGCCAATCGAGCTTCAGATTTAAGCTTTCTTACGAAGGTGTGCAAGTCAATCGTTCAGAGTCATATCTACTTTTGAACTTGTCGGCTTTCTAATATATTAAATCTAATGTCTTTAGAAGCAATGTTTTTACAATAAGTTCACAAAAAAATGTTCGTAACTGCAACAACTTATACATACACCTACATCAGATTTCACATAGTCGAAAATTTATAAGAAAAGTTTTAACAGCATAATTAATACTTGCTTTGTGGTTGACTTTTGTGGTTCTTTTTTACTAAAGATCTGCTCTACCTTTTGCTCGGAACTGTTTTCTCCTTGAGAGCTGTTCGTAATTCGTAAAATTTTTTTCCAGCTGGATATTAGAAAGTTCGTGTTGGTTTTAAGATGAAGCTGACGCGTATGGCTAAAGGTTAACAGAGACTGATTGTTGAATATTTTGCATTGGTTTCAATAGAGATAGAAGACTTAAAGAGCTTCGAGTTTGTGTGAGGGCTTTTGACTTCTGATACCTATCAAAAATTAGCACATCAATTATTTCATATTTAAATTATCTGATTGATAGATTTGCACATATTCTTATCTCCAGTCAGAAAGTCATCTCTAATTCCTGTAGCATTACTTTGCTGCGCTGATATATCGATTGCATTTCTCTGGTTAGTTCCATTATCAACGTAAAGAATTTTTTAACAATACAGAAATCAAATCAAAATTTGTTCCTTCATCACTCTTCGTTCGGTATTTCATTCGCGAGATAACTGATCCAATATACTAGTGGTGTGATGTTTCCAATAATAATGATGCATAAAATCTCGAATCTAAAGCTTTGTATCGATCAATCATGAAGATGATGAGCAATCCCTAATACATAGTTATTTGTTCATTGTCCATATGTTGATCATGGTGTTACTATAGTAAGAAATGCATACAATATAATTGATTGATTGTGCCATCAATTTCACGTATAGCTTGTAACCTACTCTTATTTTCTTATACAGAATGTTCTGTTTTCTATTCTTTTGTATAATTTAGTAATGCTGCCCTTCTTAAATTAATGGTTGTTACCAATAGAAAAAAGATGCATTTATTAGTTCAAACGAAATCGCCCCAATCGGCATGCTCTGACTAGACGATTACTTTTAAACTATCTCATAAAGAAATAGACGACTTTAGTACTACTCGAGTACAAAATTTGCGATACTTGTACTCGAACTCGGAATTATTTTAATGACTAGTTGAAAAAGTACTCGACTATTTGATTTAAAAAAAACTTTTTTCTTGGTGCACTTAACAAAGGCATTGTAAAAATTGGTGTGCTCAAAAGTGTTTTGATACCAGTCTGAAATCGCTTATTTCTGATCTCATATCACTAATTTATTTGGTTAGAAAAGATAACAATATTGTAAACAATAATTCGTATACAATAAAATATCATAAACAATGGTAAACTTCTTATAAAAGCCTAAAATCCATAGAGAAGAAGAATAGAGTGAAACTTTACACAAGAGAAATAACTGGAATATTTCTCCCATATTTTAAACAACATGTTGGCTATCATTTGATATAAATAGTTATTTTCGTCGAAACAAATATTTTGAGCTATGGATGGTCAATTTTCAATCTTAGAAAATTCCCATACATTTTGATAGAAAAACTCAGATGTTTACCTAACACGCTCACTGTTTTCCCGTTTATACGTAGACACCGTAAGGAGGATTTTCGAAGCTTTGTGAGAAAATAAATACAATTAGTGAGGGATCGAACTTTTTTTGTAGTTATATTTTAATATGGTTGGAGTAAACAACAATATTCCATTCGAGAATCAGAGAAAAAAATCTATACAACGTTTTCATCTTGCACGACTCAATTAAATATTCTAGTGCTAATTTCTTGTTTTATTTCATGAAAGCGGAAGAAACAAAAATACCATTTAAAAGGGTAAATTATAGATACACACACTTTAGTCATGAAATGGGACAGTACCCCAAGAGCAATTTCCGATCAAAGAAAACAAAACACGTTATTTAATTACAGAATTGAACTAATGCAAAATATCATAGTTTAAAATTTCACAGCACACACGCTTTTTCTCGTTGTTCCGCTAAGTCAGAGGCCAGTTTCTTTAAAAACTTAAGTGAAAAATTTGTCTTAAGTCAACCTTTTTAGCTAAGTATATTTTTCAAACATTACTTAACTTAAGTCTTTATGAATTAACTTAAGTTGTAATAATTGTAAAGCCATGGACAAAATTAAGAAATCCTTTTGTCTACAGTTGCAGTTGTACCAAGAAATTAATGATGAATATCTTGATAGCCAAATATTATGAAATTCCAATTCCGAAGAGCGCAGCTGATTAACTGACAAACGCCATCTTCTTATGTCTGGCTTTTTTGACTCTTCTATCTATCATTTGTTCTTATTTAAAAGATAAGGTATGAGTTTTATTGAAACAAGAATTGAAGGAAAAAAACCGAAATTTCCGCATTTCAATGACCATGAAATCAACTTCGAAGCCGATCACATCTGTCCGCCAGTACACAAGAAATAGACAAGAACAGTTTGGTAGTCGATTGTTACCATCTGAAATCAAAAGATTTTGATTTCACGAAAAGATGGGACCGGATCATATTCATGGAGGATACAAAAACAAAACTATCTTATTCTTCGCTCGTCGGCTTGTGATCTTCTGATTATTCCTGCTACGAATGCAGCCATTAGACGTCAAATGGTAATGATGTCAAAAAGAACACGATTGAATACGTCATAAGTTAATAAAATCATGTTTTTAGATAATAATTTATCGTTCTTTAGAAAATTGATTGTGTAATTAATGATTAGTTTTGAGAGACTTACAAAAAACAAATATAACTTGGTTGATACGAATCACATAAATTTAAGAAATGTATGCTTTATATATAGGCAAGAAAATATTTGAAAATTTGAGTCAAGATAGATACAAACAGTTTCTAACTTTTGGGACAGTCGTTAACTAATGTGGTTATCAAACTTTAGAAAACTCATTTCTTCCACTTTTATCTTCAGAATTTTTATTTTAGGGATATTCTAGAGCTTGTCCGTGTTATTGTGTTATTTAAATAAGAAAAAAAATATTCTCTATGGACAAAACAGAAAAGTTTTGGTTAAGTGTTCTCTATCAAAAATCTATTTTGGTAGTTACAAGTTCGATCTGGATCAAACTTTCAAAAGAGGTTAACCATATCAAAATATGGTGACAAAATTTAGAGAGAAAACATTGGACATTGGTTAGTAATAATCAGTATTTTCACGACACTGTTTGACGCTTAAATCATACTGAATACCCACGAGGGAACCTTTGAAAGTGCCCCCTCGCTTTATTAACGAAACCTAGTAGGTTATAGGTTATCGATGATGCTGATTTCGAATATGAATATGAGAGCTGCTCTTAGAGCTTTGAAGACCCGGTTTTCTGGAAAACAACTAAAGCTTTTCTTAATGAACCATGCTTGTGGCCCGCACATTTCTGATTACAATGAGACCTCTCGCAACTCTACATGACCTTTCTTTGCAAATTTATAGAATTTATAAGAAAAGCCCTAACTATTCATTGTCAACTCAAAGCTACAAAAATAAGAAAAAATTAATTTAGGGCTTATCTTGTAAATTCTATAAATTTGCAAAGAAAGGTCATGTAGAGTTGTGAGAGGTCTCATTGTAATCAGAAATGTGCGGGCTACAAGCATGGTTCATTAAGAAAAGTTTTAGTTGTTTTCCAGAGTTTCTGAAAAACTGGTTTTCCAGAAAACCGGGTCTTCGAAGCTCTAAGAGCAGCTCTCATATTCATATTCGAAATCAGCATCATCGACAATCTATAACCCACTAGGTTTCGTTAATAAAGCGAGGAGGCACTTAAAAACGGCCGATAGTTACACTTGAAATAAAATGATCATAGACGTTGTCAAAAACTTTGTTTGATTATAACTGTTGCACAGAACAGATACAAATACCTGTTGTTCTTTTTAACAATATTCGTATACTCAATTAAAATTGTATGAAAAGATGTTGCACATGTAAGTATTGTTATAAGGTTTTATATATTTTGCAATTTAATATTTCTATGAAGGACAGAAGCTCAAAATTTTTATTTTTTATTAAGATAATTTCACAATCGATTGTGCTAATCAGATGTTCTTCTTGATCTAGATACAATGTAGTTATCATATAAATACATTCTCTATAGTAAAATATGAATTTCTCTCGTCTATGTGAATATAGGCATTTTAAATCTGTTGAATTGTTAATTTGGTTGCTATTTTTAAATATGAATTCTTCCTTATAGATTCAATAAACCTTATAAATTGTTTTAATAATAATGTAATCATCAGACATTATTCTTTTTTTTTTATTTTCAAATATTGACAAATTTATTTTTGTAATAACCATATGAATACTAATTATAGATTTTTCAAGCATATCAGCGTGATGAAAAAAAAACTAAAATTCATACAGAGTGAGTCGTAGAAAAGTGCTTTGTGCGTATTCAGTACACTAAATAACCTAGTAGATTTTTTATTTATGGCGAGACATATTGTCATAAAATTTTAGAATAATTTTTTCGAGCACAATGATCAAAAAAAATAAATAAAATATTTTTATGGGAAAATAATATTAGTTTAAAAATTTCTTTTAAACTTTTAGCAACACATCTTGACATTAATAAAAAATCTTTCAGGATTATCCAATGTACTGAAATACGAAAAAGTATTTTTCGACGACTCTGCATGATTTTTTTCTATTTTTCTGTTAGTAATATGATTCATAAGTTCCTTTCTTTTACCCTTTTTTCAGATTTTCATAATGGATCCCACACAATAGGTATACTTAGAGTACGAACGATAAAAAAAGATATCAACTTGATTTGTTCAAATCGTACATGGGGTCTAAATATAATACATAGTTTCTTTTCTTCAAATTTATCAAATAGTATGAATAAATTCATCAACAATTTAAGCTCAATTTTATTAAATTTTTTGATTATTTTAGTAGACATTGAACAAAAAAGCTATTTTTAATTCACTATATCTATTATAAAATGAAGAATTTTATGTTTTTTTCTTTTTAAACAAAATGTAAATTCAAATGTGTATTTTTGTGTTCTCTTTTAAACAACAGCAACGGAAATGGCATCATCGAAAACTATTGTCATTTTATGCTCCCTAATCTTATTGAAGAGATTTTTTTTTTTTTTTTTGTTATTTTTTTGTTTTTGTATAATGCATTTTTACATTTTATGACGTGTATAACTTTAAAACATCATTCATTTCACAATCTCTTATTAATACATCTTTGTATGTTGTGTTATTTTACCGAAAATAAAAACATGAAGTAAAAATAAAAGGTAATATTAAAATGGACTATTTCCGTATATAAATAGCACTACAGTACTAAATATGATTTTGAAAAGAAAACAAAGAATTTTTTGAAGATAATATTAAATTTAATGATAAATAAACATAAATGTCTTGTTTATACTTCATAAATATGAATGCTTCGAGTTTAGAATCCAAAAATCTTTTCTGTAAATTTTCTTCTCATGTGATATTGAAAATAAACTTTATAAAATAAAACTGTTCACACTATAAATCCATTTTTACATTATGTTTTATATTACATTCTACTTAATTTTGTCTATCTCTTCTATAGACAACATGTGCATGTTGTGCTTTTCTTTTTTCTTTTTTTTTTTTTTTTTTTTTTAATAATTAAAAAAAAAAAAACAGCCCCAAAAATTTAAATTTTTTAAAAAAAAAATTTAATAAAAATAAAATTTTTAAATTAAAAATTTAATTTATATCACCTGTGTGAGCAAAGCATAATGTATATCAATGGCAACTGCGCGAAATAGAAGTATATACAATTTAGTCTCTTTTTTTATTTTTCCTATGATCCGAAAAAAAAAAAAAAAGAAAAAGTTATTATTGAAAAACCTTGTGAAATATAAAAAAAAAAAAAAAGAAGCAAAAAAAAGTCGAGCGTATGTATAATCATCTTTCTAATAATTATACAATAAAATAAAATTATTAAAACATACAATAACAAAAAAAAATCTGTCATTGTTAAATATATTTTATTTTTAGAGAATAATATGAATAATGCGCGATCTATTACGAACACAAATACGTTGGGAATCAATAGATAATAAATCTTTTAGACTAAAAGATTTATTAAAAACAGAACAATTACCAATAATTGTTAATATAACATCATCATTCAATATAAATAAACGTTCAATACGTTCAATATTTACACGTGATACACCATTATTATTAATACAACAAGAAAAAATTGATTCAATTTTAGCACAATGTCATCAAACAAAATATCGACGTCGAACACAAGCAAAACTTATAGTAGCAACAAAATTTCGTACAATAAAAAATTTATCACGTTCAACAAATTCTCTTGTAATGACAAATGGTAATAATATTAATAATGATTTAAAAGAAGAAAATTTAAGACAATCACTTTTAAAATTAATTAATGAAAATAGTCGTCATCAAACACTTTGTCGAATACCATTAATTTATGATGGACTCTTTGAAATATTAAATGAAAATGGATTGGCAATTGAACCATGTAAATATGTACGTTAGTATTCTACTACTAAATAAAAAAAAAACATTAAAAAACAAAATATTGACTATTGACACAATGTATATTTTGAGATGAATAAAAAAAAAAAAGCGTAGAAATAAAATTAAAATAATGTTTAATAAATCTAAACAATTCTTATCTGATTATTTCAGGTATCTGAATTACAATTAACAAATAATATTGATGGTGATAATGATAAAAATTGGGAAAAATGGCCAAGTCGAGTTTTATTACGAAAAAATTGTACAGTTTATTTAACAGCAAATTTAGATGAAAAAGAGACAATAATTTCTGATAATCGAAAAGATCGTCAATTATCATCGAGTGATTCATGTTATGGTTCATCATCTTCTGATTTAATTGATTCACATAAAATTATTACATTATTAAATCGTAGTGAACAATTACAAGCTGGTGAAATTATTTCTATAGTTAATGTTTGTTATGGACGATTATTAGATAATAATCGAAAAAAATGTGATACAAATGATTATTCTATAGATAATGAATCAAAAAATCCAATGAATACAAGTTCAAATAGTTTTTCATCATCTTGGCTTCGAAATATTACAAAACCACGATTATTATTTTCAAAAAAATTTAGAAAATCTATATTAGCCGATGATACATTGGTATCGACAAAACATAATATTGTTGAACAATTATCAACTGTATCACATGAACGTTATTTAAAATGTAAAACAGAAAATGATCAAATTGTTTATATATCTTTTAGTGAAAATGGTTTATTTAGTCCAATACGAACATTAGAATCAAATGAATTAGATGATATTACTGGTGTATTTAATCTCAAAGATTTAATACGAAATTTTCGTTTTCCACTCTCTGTACAATCAGTTAAAAATACTGAAATAATTGATTTTTTTTCTATGGAAAATCGTCAATCAAATGAATTATCTAATAAATTACGTTTATTAACAACATATAGTGAACATGTTGTATGGGTATGTCCATTAACAACAAATAATTTAATGGCAAAAAATAAATTAATTATACCATTACCATTAATTTCTGATATTTATTTTCATCGTTGTATAAATATGAAAGATATATTAAAATCAAAATATTATCAAGAATTTTTTATTGATTGTTTTCAAACAATAAAACAATATGAAAATAGAATATCAAAAATTGATTTTCCATTAGATATTGAATCACCATCATTATTAAATAATCATCCACGATATAAAAAACGTTCACAATCCGAATTTTATTATGAACCAATTGTAATTTCTAATAGTTTAGAAAAATCTAATAATCATTATTCTTATTCATCTGAAAATATAAATAATAATATTTCTAATAATCGTTTATTCTATTGTGCTTCATCATCTTCATCATCATCATCATTATCTGTCCATAATTATTCAAATGAGAAAATAAAAATGAATGATTCATTACAATATCGAGATAGTTTTGAAAAAATAAAAGAAAAACTTTCAAATTCAATGAATTATCATGAACAAAATTCACAAACAAATAATCGTTCATATTATTCAAGAATAAAATTAGATAATAGTATAAATTCTTTAAAATATCGATCAAGAAAAAAATCAATACCACAAATTGATGATAATTTTAAACGATCACCATTTATTCAACATAAAATAATTGAAGATACAAATTATAATGACATTGATCAATTATATGATTATATTCGAACAGGTATTATGTCAAATAATATATTACAAATTATGAATCTTTCAACAGAAAATTTATCTAATAATAATAATGAACAGTATTATGATGCAAATGAAAGTTATAAAACAGATAATTCAGAATATTCAATAAATAAAATAAAAATAGATAATGTTATGTATATTAGTCAATCACCAAAGAAAATGAGAATAAACAATGATTTAAAACAAAATAGTCCAATATTAATTAGTAAAAAACAACATCAAAAATCAAAGGTTTGTATTATTGAACAAGAAAATAAAAAATGTGAAATTGAAATAGTGAAAACTCTATAACTAACAAAAAAAAAAAAAGAAAAAAAAGAAGGAATTCATACTCTTTTCCCATCTACGATTCTAAATAGACTTATATTTGTTCATAGGATTATTAAATTTTAGGTTAATTCCACAACATTAGACGTTGAACATGAAATATTGGTGAATAAAAATAAAACAAAGTCCCGTCGATTTTCTAAGTATAATGGCAATCAATCACTAAATAGTATTACCAATAATATTGTTGAGAAAACGAAAAAACAAAATTATAATAATGTTAGTCTAGAAAATATTGATTTTCAATCATGTACTGAATACAAAATAGATGATGATAGTAACAAAGTGAAGAAATACAAAAAACAACAACATGAACAACAACAACAACAACCATCGATAAGACAACATCCACAAACTGAAGCACTGGTCACGTATACTACTTCAGCGAGAAAAAATAAAATTGAACCAAAAGTTATTAATTTAATAGATGAAAACGATCGAAATATGTCAGCAAAATCATCTAATTCAAAAAAGATTTATTATCGTGTCTGAAATTTTATTAAACAATAAACTTGAGTTCTATAATTGAAGTTAACATCCTTGAACATAAAATGTTCAAGGATAATAGATTATCGTCTATACATGAAAAATACGAACAGCGATAATTTATTTTTATAGAGATATTGAACAAAAAGTGTAATTATCGTTCATGCCGGTGCGCTCTAATTTGTTGTGACATTTCTAACTAATTTTCAATAACACAGTTTTATAAATTTTATATAAATATATAATCTTTAAAAGTAAAAACAGCGTCTTACTGTCTCTTACTCACAAGTAAAACGTTTTGAAGAGCGTAACTTTGTTATTTGTAATGAATGTGTGCCGGAGAGAAGGGAAACGAATTGCACAAAAAACAAAGACCATCTTTAAAATTCTATTAATAAACAAAAAATAATTAAACAAGTTGTTGTTGTTTTGTCAACGCCGTTCTTTGAACACGTACTGCTTCATATTTTTTTATCTAAAGGACGGAGGACGATAAGAGCCAAAATCGGTCCATGAAATATGAAATATAATGAAATACAAGATAGTCTTAAGAAAGTGTAACTGAGTAGTCTAAGATCCGAAATACTCGGTTCCATCTCAGTAGACCGGTAGGTCGACGTCATTCATGTTTATAATATCCATTTATTTTCTCGTTAACCACTCTACTTTATATATCATTCGGTAGCGACTTTCACGGGCTACAAAATGAATAAATAAGTCTTTCAAAAATATGCCTACATGGGTCAATAGTCGAAATACTTGGCCCATATGATGATTTTCACCTATCTTAGTGCTTTAAACACTCCTTGACTCATTTTTCTGTCATAATGAAAAATTATGTATTTTTCAAAAACACACCATTGGATAGCCCATAATTTTGCAAACCATATAGCCTGATAGAACTTAGAATTCTGAGGAAAATAAAACATCTCCCGGCTGTCTATAATGCTTTTTCGCTCGATTATTTTGATAATTTTCAAGCCCTTTGTAGCCATTCGTAAATCGACTGTAGCTGCGTGAAAAAGCATTATAGACAACCAAGAGATGTCTTATTTTCCTCAGAATTCTAAGCTCTATCAGGCTATATGGTTTGCAAAATTTTTTGACCAAAAATCAAGAACTTGGTTTTCCAGAAACTAATGCTATCAAGTTTTCTCACGAAACGGCGATATGCACCTCATCTGATAGAAAAATCTTCGGGCTATTCAAAACAGTATTCAGATTGGTTCCAGCTTTTACTAAAAAGTCAAAAACAAAAGAGTTCCCATTAGCCA